TGTGTCTTGCATATTTAACCTATTCTGCTGATCCACCACTCTATTTTTTAGCTAGTACCAAGTAGTTTTGATTATTGCTGCTTTATAATAAAATTTAAGATCTGGAATGGCTAGAGCACCTTCCCTTTCTATATATTACCAGCAAAGTCCAACAGCAAGAGATAGAAAGAGAAATTCCATTTAAAGTTACTGTAGACATTATACAATATTTAGGAGTCTACCTACCAAAACAAACCCATAGAACTATATGAATACAATTACAAAACACTTTCCACACAAATAAAGTCAGATCTAAATAATTGGAAAAACATGAGTTGCTCATGGGTAGGTCAAGCTAATATAATAAAACTGACAATTCTACCTAAGCTAATTTACTTATTCAGTGCCATATCAATCAAACTACCAAAAAATTATTTTATAGAGCTAGAAAAAATAATAACAAGATTCATTTGGAATAACAAAAGGTTTTTATTAATTTAGACCCACTTTCTCCTCCCCTATCGACCTCTGACACTGTGCATTGGTAAGAATGTGTGATCCAGGTTTTTGGATAAACTGTTATGTTATGATTATTCCTGCTTTTGCCTTTTATTTTGTAAATGTTATGATTATTCTTATGTTTTGTTTTCTTGTTTAGAAGAGATTTTGTGTTTCAGAAATAATGTTATCTTTGTGATTGGTTTATGTAAATGAGGAGTATATAGTTTGGGGTTCTGAAGCTACAGTGGTAACTAGTAGGAAACTGGTTCCCTTTTTACCAGGGGTTATCCTGGAATCTTGAGACTATGTTGTAGTAGCATGATTCCTCTTTGAGGAACCACCTTGACCTGACATCCTGGGTTCATGGAGGTGAGAGAGCCAGCCCTGGCCCAGGAAGAAAGATCCTGGAAATAGCTGGGGGACAGTTCCATGACCTCTGTACCTGTCATATACAGAGATACTGAAGTGGCAAGAAATGCTCTGAAGGTGTCTGAAGTCTGAGTGGTGATCAGAGGAAAGAAAAGATGTAATCAGCCTTTTCTCTCTCCTCCATTTTAGCCCAGTATTTCTGACTTCTTATTGGACAGCTCCTCTTTGATTTCCTGTCAGGATATTAAGCTTAATATGTTCTAGAAGTCTTGTCATTTTCTCAACTAAACCCTCACTTTCTCAAAATTTTCCTATTTCTGTTGAGGGTACCACTACCGCTCTAGTCAACTGACTTACTTATCTTGGAATCATCTTTGATCTCTATGCCTTATCCCATATTCAATCCATTGACAAATATTGTTGATTTTACCCACACTATCTCTTGCACCCTTCTCTCTACTAACATGGTTACCATATAACTTCAGGCCTTTATCACCTCTTACCTAGACTGTTTTAATAGCCTCCTAGAGCCTTAGCTCTAGTCTCTCCCTTTTTCAATTCTTCTTCACCACACCTGCTGATACAACTTTCCTAAGGCATCATTCTATTGTGGCATGTCATTTCTTTGACTAAAAATCTTCAGTAACTTCTAAATTGTCTCTAGGACAAAATTCAACCTTGCATACACGGTCCTTACTGACTTGTCACCTACCTTCCCTTTCATTCACCTTTCATTCTAGCTGAGCTGCACTACTACTTCTCCCCCAAACTTGGTGTTCTATATCTTGCCTCTATGAATTCTCACAAGCTGTTTCAATCCTGGAAGGTAGTCCTTTTTTATTTCTTCCTTTAAGAATCCTAATCTTCCTTCAAGGCTGAAGTGAAGTGTTACCTCCTTGGTGAAGGTTTTCATGACTCACCAAATTCATAGTGCTCTCAGTCCTTAAATTACTTTGCCTTATGCTACCTGTGTACATCTATTGTATTCCTTCAGTAGGATGTGAATTGTCTGAGGGATGGACTATTTTGGTTTTTGTACTATTCCCATAGCAATAGATATAGCCCTTCTTGTGGAATGTTAATGAAAATCCACAGATGCCATCCAAAGAAAGACCATGTAACTCTGCTTAGAGGAAGAAGACAGGACCCATAGTGACCGGTGAAGTTCTGTCAAGGGAGACCAAGGTGGTCACATGTTGACAGAATAGCAAACATGACACAGCAAGAAGATTCAGTGGAGAAGACCGGTGGAGACTCCAACATAGAAGATGAGCCAAGAAGAAGGGCAACAACAAAACCTCAGCCACTTATTTAAAAATATACCAAATATGGGTAGTCTGCAAAGTGAATAAGGGACAATAACACAAGGAGATAAGTTGGATGTCAGGGATATCACTGAGCTTTAGTTGAATGTGACCCAGAACTGGAAAATGGCTATCCCTTGCTTAAAATCAATAGGTTTGATAAAAGAGATGCTAAAGTATATCAAGTTGCATAGTAAGAAGATAAACTCATGAAGAAATCCATCTACTAGAGTTGGAAGAAACATGGTGGAAGGCATTGGGGTGAGGGTCAATGTAGGTAAAAATGAAATATCATGTCAGAGTATATACCTAACCCTAAGGAGGAAATGAAGGATGAGTTTGGAAAAACAATCACGTCTCTGGCCCAAAGGTATGCTATAGTAGTGATGTGGGACTTCAACTCTTCAGACATGTCCTAAAGTTCTTTTTTTTTTTTGGTAAAAAGGAAGCATAGTTGATAAATGTGTGGCTTGCTATAACAATTTTATTATTCAAAAGATGGAGGAAGGGACCAAAGGAAAATGCTTTCTCTTCTGACAATAAGGAGTAGTTGAAATAATGGGACCCTTGTGAGAGTGTGAGCACTGTCTTAGATCTCATGATAGTTAAAGAGATGAAAGTTAAGCAGAGTTTGACATGCACATATTTTTTAAAAGTCTTTCAAAATTATTCATTTTTATGATATTAATGTTATAATATAAGTTGTTCTTTTTCTGCTCACTTCACTCTGCATCAGTTCTTACAAGTCTTCCCAGGTTTATTTGAAACTATCTTTTTCATCATTTCTCACAGCATAATAGTGTTTTATTGATGCTCTGGAGTTTTGAAGAATAAGTTTCAAAGAGTTCAGAAAAAAAGAGAAATAGGGTTGAATAGTTTAAAATTCTATAGAGGGAAATCAATTCATTGGGATTGCTATGGAATGCTCTTAAGAAAGAAATATTGATAACATAACCACAACTGATTGCAATAAGAAAGGGAGAGATGTATATAAGATACCCATATGGATATACAATGAGCTCCTAGGCAATGAGGTTAAGTGACTTGCCCAGGATCACACAACTAGTAAGTGTCAAGTCGAGACGAGATTTGAACTCAGGTGCTTCTGACTTGAGGTCCAGTACTCTGCACCACCTAGCTGCCCCTGACTCCCATTTTCAAAAGGGATGTAGTAGCAAGGGCAGGTAACAGGATGAAAATGAGTCTTAGTGCATTTTTAAGCTTTAGTAGCCAAAAATTGCACTAAGACTTTTGGGACACCCTACATTTATTGCTTTAAATTTAAACTCTAGTTGTTTCATATCTCAAATTTTCACCTTCTCAGCAGTGCTGTAAGGGAGCTTATATTAGTCTCTGACTCCTCCTTCTATAACATCACAGGACAAATTTGTGATACAAAGCACAGCTGTAGAGTTGGAAGGGACCCCAGAGGTCATCTAATCTAATCCCTTCATTTTAAAAACAAGGAAACTGAGACTTAGATAAGTTAAATGATTTACCCAAGGTTAGATAGGTAGCAAGTCACAAAGTTTGTGTTCAGATCCCTGTAGGTCATCTGATGTCAAATCCAGTATAGCACATAGTGGTTGAGGATTAGAAATATTTTTGACACCTGGAAAGAATTACATGGACTGATGCAAAGTGAAGTGAGAAGAACCAGGAGAACAGTGTACACAATAATAGCAATATTATACAATAATCAGCCATGAAAGACTTGGCTGTTCTCAGCAATTCAATCATCTAAGACAATTCCAAAGAGCTTATGATGAAAAGTGCTATCCGCCTCCAGAAAAGAACTGATGGAGTTTGAATGCAGATCAAAGCATACTTAAAAGTTTTTTTTTCTTTATTTTTCTTGGGTTTTTTTTTTTGGTCTCTGTTTTCTTTCATAACATGACTAATATGGAAATGTTTTGCATGACTGCACATGTATAACATATCAAGTTGCTTGCCTTCTTAATGAGGGGAAAGGGAAGGGAGAGAGGGAAAGAATTTGGAACCCAAAATTTTAAAAAAGGAATGTTAAAATTTGTTTTTACATGTAATTGGAAAAAATAAAACATTTAATTGGATTTTAAAAAAGAAATACTTTTTGAATAAATGTGTAGCAGAACTTACATGACCTATCCAAGCTTCAACAGAAGAATATGGGAAATTGGAAGGGCCAGGAAGTTTGCGTACCATCAGTGGGAGGTGCTGACAGTGAGAATCCTTATGGTGAGCATTTGAGAAAGACCTCCACACATTCTGGGAGAGATGATAGCAGCGCTTGAGAATGAGTTTTGATGAGGGGACTTGTATGGTGAGAGGTCAGAATGGTGGAGCAATGGAATTGTGAGTGGAAGAGGAGAACCAGTCTCAGACCCTGTGCTTTACTGGATCCCCTGCTAGAAAAGTATTTTAAGTTATGGGGTTGGCTCTCTGAAAGGCAAGGTACCTTTTGATTCCTTCATAGGCTTATAGCTTTAGAGCTGGGCATTGAGTTCTTTCCCGTTGGGAGCACAGCCCCACAAATAGTACAAGTTTAGAGATCTCTGTAGTCCCTGTGAAAAGGTGGAAACCCACCATAAAGGGAATGTAAATTTCTAGACTATTTGTGGGCTTCAGTATAAGTCCTTTTTGTGTTCTTTACACTGCTAAATAAAACCTTTTCTGTTTGATACCATGTGAGTCTGAGAGCTTACATTTGGGGAACATATGGCTACCCTTTGGGGGAAGTGCCATATGTTAACATCCCCAAGTGCTACTTGGGTAGGAGCAGATGAGCTGGGTTAATTAGTATGATTAGTGAGCTGATGGCCACACTGTGGGAAATGCCAGGTACTGATATCCCCAAGTTTTCCCTAGGTAGGGGCAGATGAGTCAGTGAGATTTGTGAGCAGCTCTCAACATGTACCTGCACCCTTAGAATGAAGACAGAGAAGAAGCAGGTTTCAAATGAATAAGGTGAGTAGCATATGACACAGAATTCCAGCTTCTCCTATGCTTAAGACCCAAAACAAGAAATCTTAACTCCCAATTAGATTGTTCTAATTAGATTGAAAGAGGCTTTCAGATTTTAACTGTTTTAAAAACAATGCCACATTTACAAAGTGGTTAGTTAACAAAACCAGTTGAGTCACAGATCTTTCTTGAATCCAGATCACTTCTACTTTTTTTAATTAGTTGGATCTAATCTTAAGAGCAAATTTTTAACATAATTAAATTGGCCTTGATGTGGAAAACCCAGAATCTGAAAGGGGGAGGGGTGAGGTGTGTGTGTGTGTGTGTGTGTGTGTGTGTGTGTGTGGTGTGTGTGTGTAATCATGTAGGAATCTACCAGACATTTAATTATCCATTCTCTCCAACTTTATTTTAAGCCTTGTTGTTAACAACCCCTGTCAAAGAGTTTGTTGAATGAATGAGCTAGGAGAGTTCTTTTTCTACTCAGGACCCCACAGTGAAGAGTAAGCTTCATTTCCTGTCTTCTTTCCATTATAAGCAGGTACCTGGAGAGGCCTCAAGGGATGTGGCAAGATGATTCAGGAAACCAGCCAAGGCACAATGGAAGGGTTTGGGTTGCGTGTTCTGTACCTCTGGGAACCTGGTGATCAGGAAAAAGACTCCTCTGGTTTCAAGGAATAGCAGTAACATCTTCTAAGCAAGAGTCCCAAGAGGTGACTCAAAGAAAGAGGTCTTTGGGTCACAGAAGGAGATATAAATTAGCTCTCTGGAAAAAGTTACTGAACACAGACTGAAAAACTGCTATACACTGAAAGTGATGGTCAGTTTGATGACAGGATAGAAAATCTAAATTGCTGCCTGCCTGAAAGACCATCCATCGGCACAGTTTTCCTTTCATTAACTCTCAAGGAAAATAGCCTTTCCTGTGATTGCTGCCTGTGACTCACTGTATCTTATACTCTGTGTGTGTGTGTTTGTGTGTGTACGTATGTGTAGGTGTTGAGGTGTGTGTATGGACAGTGTTGTGCCTTTGCTGTAAAACACTACAAAATTGTTTCTCTAGGTAGACAAGCTAAGGTCATTGGGACCTTCGCAGGTACCTGTTCTCTCAGGTTCCTTCTCTCAAGGAGGTTGCTATCCCTATTTTTCTATCTGTGCAAGTTGACGTTAGTTAACTGCAATTGGGCACCATTAGCTGTCAGTATGCAACAGAAATAATATTCATCAGTGTTTCATCTTCAAAGTACTTTATAAACACAAAATAATTAACCCTTATGTAAACCTCAGTGATGTAAGGGGATGCTAGGAGGGAGACAGGCAGAGACTTGCTTTGGGCTGCAGCCAGAATGGGAGACAGGTTTTCCTCAGAGTCTGGATTAAAAGTCAAAAGCTCCAGGCTATTAACAGGCCACACCTGATTCTTTTTTAACCTCCTCAGTGGCCTTGAAGCTTTGCAGGGAGGCCAGGCCTCTGCTTTGTTATTATTCTTCCTTTAGTTCTATTCATATATACAATAGTTAACCTGGTACCTCTCAAACACCTTCACACTCTACTTGTCTTATAGTTACTGGGTCCAGGTCTTAGTTTTCCCCCTATTAGATTACAAACTTCTTAACAGCCAAGGGACTTTTCATTCTCCTTTCTGTCTTTCTCATTGCTGCCACAGTCCTTTGCATATAGGAGGTACTTTATAAATGTCTGTTGATGTTGCTGAATGAATATGCCCCTCACAAACTCCTCCATTCCCATGGGTTCTAGTGCCATGCAAAGCAGCCTGGTTCAGGGGCTAGAACAGTTGTAAGAATCAGGAAGAACTGGTTCAAGTCTTATCTCTGACACATTCTGGCTTCGAGACTGGGTAAATCACTTAATGTCCTAGTGCCCAGGCAATTCTCAAAAAATGTAAATTGCAGAATGGTTGCCAATTCAAATGGGCAGGGGAAATTTCCTCATTAGGTATTTGCCCTGCCAATGAAATCGCAGGTTCTGACTCATACAAACGAAAATTGAATGAATACACCTCCAACCTTCATTCCCATGGGTTCCACTAGTTTTGTCACGTGAATTTCAGGTAGGAATTGACTTGAAAAGCAATGGGGGTTGGGAGAAATAAAAAGAAGTCCCTGAACATAATACAATATGTTCTTCCTATTTGAACTCATCTTGTACTGTTGCAAAAATGCTACCCAAACATAGCTATAAATGAAAGTTAAGAACAGAAAACAAAAACCTGGGCCTGAGTGAGGATGCTTTTTAATTTTCTTTTTCTTTTAAAAAACTCTTTTTTTTAAAATTTATGGAATAAAACAAGCATTTCCATAACATAGTATAATAAAAAAGATGATTGCATATGAAACTGCAAATCTACTATGTACAACTTGCTATTCCTTTTAAATATACAACAAAGTTATCGTGTAAATTTCTTTTTTTCCTTTTTTTCTTCTCTCACACCACCCCCACCTTAGAGATGGCCACCATTAGACACAAATAGGCATATATATATGTAAAATTATTCTATACATACTTCAATTTATCAGTTTTTTCCTCTGGGTGGAGGATACAAAGAAAGAAAGGTTACATGACACAGAAGGAAATGTTACATGACAGAGTACACTGGATTTGGATTCAGGAATACCTGGGTTCAAATTATACCCCCCAAAACATATTAGTTGTGTTACTGGCAAGTCATTTGAACTCTCTGTGCCTCAGTTTTCTCATCTCCAAAATAAGGGAAAGCAGTTAAATTTTCTCTTTTGTTTAATTAACTAATTAATTAATTAATTTTTAGTTTTCAACAATCACTTCCATTAGCTTTTGAGTTTGAAATTTTCTCCCTCTTCCTCCCGCCTCCCTCCCCACGACGATGTGTAATCTGATATAGGCTCTACACATACATTCCTATTAAACATATTTTCACATTAGTCATGTTACAAAGAAGAATTAGCACCAACAGGAGGAACCACAAGAAAGAAGAAACAAAACAGAAGAAAAAAAAGAGCAAATAGTATGCTTCGATCTGTATTTAAACTCTATAGTTCTTTCTCTGGATTTGGATAGCATTTTCCATCATAAGAGTTTTGGAGATGTCTTAGATCCTTGCATTGCTGAGAAGGGCTAAGTTTATCAACATTAGTCATCGCACAATGTTGTTGTTACAGTGTACAACGTTCTCCTGGTTCTTCTCACTTCAGTCAGCATCAGACCATACAAGTCTTTCCAGGTTATTCTTATGTTTACCTGCTCATCTTTTCTTATAGCACAATAGTATTCCGTTACATTCATGTACCACAACTTGTTCAGCCATTCTCCAGTTGATGGGCATCCCCTCAGTTTCTAATTCTTTGCCACCACAGAAAGAGCTGCTATAAATATTTTTGTACATGTGGGTCCTTTTCCCATTTTTATGATCTCTTTGGGACACAGCCCTAGAAGTGCTATTGCTGAGTCAAAAGGTATGCACATTTTTATAGCCCTTTGGGCATAGCTCCAAATTGCTCTCCAATATGGTTGGATCAGGCAGTTAAATTTTCAACGAGATCATTTACACTTTTGAAATGGACAAATGCTATAAATCAGGCCTTGATATATTTGTCTTGTTGATTATCTAGACTTAAGAAAGTGATAGAGAAAATGTCTAATAATTCAGATTAAATTTAGAAGTATGTCTTGCTGACATATTTTGGGAGGAGAGCTGGTTTTTAAACCAGCAGAATTTGGACATGATATCTTTTAAGGTTCCTTTTAGTTTTAAATCTATGTTTCTATGATCATTGTACTATGCAATACTCTTTGCATCAGTTCATATGAGGCTTCTCAGGTTCCTCAGAAGCCATTCATTTTGTTCTTTATTGTGGTGGAATAACATTCTATTAAGTGTATGTTTTTGTGGTTGTTGTTCAGTCATATCAGACTCTTTGTGACCCTATTTGGGGTTTTCTTGGCAAAGGTACTGAAGTGGTTTGCCATTTCCTTCTCTAGCTCATTTTACAGATGAGGAAACTGAGGCAAACTCAGGAAACTGAAGTGATTATTAAAAAAAAATTACAATCACCCTTAAAGGGTGTTTAGAAACTTAATGAGAATAGCAGTTTCATTTAAGCCAAAGAATTGCAAAGCTCAAGAGGCTGGTTATCTTTGGCCATATAGACCTAGCCAGCTCTTTACTTACAAGGGTGCTTATACAGCAAAACAGTAACTACTTATCTTTACCCTTTTCGTTTTTCCCTTTCACATTAGAAAGGGCAGTCAAGAGCAACGTGTACTCTTGAGAAGCTTCACCTCTCTTAAGCTCTAGGGAGGGCTGAAGAGCAATATCTGGACCTGAAGCTTTGGCCTAATGAGGTTGAGTCAAATAGTAACAAAAGCTTTCTTATTAGCTGACTCTGAGAAATTGCTTTTGATTTCCTGCTGTTTCTTCAATTTCCTCTTTCCTCAGCCTTTGTCTCCTATATCTTTTGATGGTTTAAATCAGAGACCCCTGGCTGCCCGTGATTCACCTTTCATTTAAAAGGTAACAACTGGACAAATTTCTCCTGTGAAATGGATAGCCATTTTAAAATCATACCTCAATCTCCAAATAATTACATGATTTCTCATTTTAAAATTTTATCCTCTTTAGTCATAAAACAGTTACATATTTTATATATATGGGGTATCCCCAAAGTTTTAGTACAGTTTAAAGTTTTAATAGTGTAATTATAAAATGGTAATATATGTTATTAATTATTAATAATGTATATTCCTTGTTAATATAGTGCAATAAATATATTGTTAATTTAAAATTATTAATTAAAAATTCACTAAAACTTTGGGGAGACCCTACAAAACAAAGGGCCACATGGCCTCTGTTTAGGACAAATTTTATTTAAAAAAGAAACCATTTAAAATCTTTACAAAAAGATCAGTAGCCATTATTACAACCTTCTGGAGGTTTCTGAGCAAGTATTGCCATGGACTTAGGATTCAAGGGACCATGAAAGTCCTGAAGCAGTGTCCTAAGGGACAGCATTGTGAACTAGACAAATGGCATGTCCCTAGAGAAGAGAAGGGAGATCAGTGGGATCAGGAACCAGTGGCCCTTTGCTATATTTTAAACATGATTTTCCATTTCATTTTGTGTCTTTGAATCATGATGCTTCATATTCATCATTTTCTAATTTTTTAATAAATAAAAGTTCTTTTTTTGACCCTGTTAAAACCACTAAACTCTTCTCATAGAAACATGATCCTACATATTTTACAAGATGATATGAGTCTTTATATTTACAACACTTTATTTTCTGTCCAAAAGTGCTCAAAGACTATCTGAAAGTTGTTTTTTTTTCAACATATGTTTTGGGAGTTTTTTGGCTTTTTTTTTTGCTGGGTGTGTGTGTGTGTGTGTGTGTGTGTGTGTGTGTGTGTGTGTGTGTGTGTGTGTGTCTGTGTGCCTGTGTGTTTGTGTAAAGATGATGAGTTTGATTTTGGGCAGGTTCAGTACCAAATGATTGCAGGAACCTTAGTGGAGATGAACTGTATTTAATTGGAATTTATAGAATCCACAGTTTTGAGAGCTGGAGTGTATCTTAGGGATTATTCTAGTCCAATGTCTCCTTGTTCTACAGGTTCATTCATTCGTGCATTCATCTGATAGATATTAATGAAGCTGCTACTGTATGCTGAAACGAAGTTTGGATGAGATACACTCTCTGCTGTTATCACACTTACAGTGCAGTAGGGAAATAAGACAGAAACAAATAATAACAATCTACAATATTCCATAAGTGTACTGAAGTGTTGTAAAATATAGGGCCATGTGATCTGATAGTGAAGGATGATACTGACTAGTGTGGATCAAGGAAGACTTCATGAAGGAGATTGGCATTTGAGTTGGGCTTA